GCAAATGAGATGCTTCTAAGAAAATAGAGGGCGGGTGGGTGGGGCTGGTACCTGTTAAGATAAGAGTGATTTTGGCAAATAACATATCCCCTAAGAAAACACAGGGTGGGTGGGCGGGGTTAGTACTTGCTAAGATAAGAATGATTTTAGCAAATGAGAAGCTAAATTATAACAAAAAATTTATTTATCGCATACAAAAAAGACCTAAATGTGCTCACTGCGCTCGTATTCAAAGGGTTAGTTTCCCAAATTTTCTACAAAATTATTATTATAATGATCCCAAACAATTTCGCTAAAACACTTTCTTGAATATTTTTGAAACTAGTCTTTAATGAAAGACCTTTAAGAAGGCGAGCGCAGCGAGCATATCCAGGTTTTATTAAAAAAATTGGTCCAAATTTATAACATTTTCAGCAACATGTTTTGAGCCATTCTTGAGAGACATCATCCATTTTTTGGGAGGCGGTAAACGGATTTTGATTAACGATTTACCATGCTTATGAATTATAATAACCTTAAAACGTTTGCAAAATTTTAGAACATTCGGTTTTGCAGTTTCAAAATTAAATTGCAAAATTTTGTCATACCTTTTTGATTTTTTTTTTCAAAATCTGGATGTTTCGGGCCAAACATCAACACTAATTCATAAAATACACTTGATATTTTATAAAACTTACGGAAATTTACTGGATACAATTTTAAACATTTTTTAACTTAAAACATCTTGAAAATGGTACATTTTTCTAAAGAAATGTGGATTTTGTAATTAAGCTCCTTCCTAGATAGAAATGTCGATAATTCGAGAAATAGAAAAATATAAAAAATTTCATTCAAAAATTTCAAAGCCTGGAAGTCGAAAAATCGGAAGATCGAGATATCGAGACATTGGAAAATAGAAAAATCGTAAAATAGAAAAACTTAAAATCAAGAATCTAGAATTCAAAAATTCGATAAATTGAACAGAAAAATCGAAGAACCGAAAAACAGTGAAATCGAGCATCAACAAATGAAAAAATTGGAAATTTAAAATCGAAAGATCTAGAATTTGAAAAATCGAAAATAAAAACTCGAGGAATTGAAAAATCGCAAAAATTTTATTGAAAAATTAATAAATTGATAAATCGAAAATCGAAGCATTAAAAAAGCGACGAAAAATTGAAAAACCAAAAAATTCAAAAATCTCAAACCTGAAGCATCGAACAATCGAAATGCTGAAAAGTCGAATCGAAAATTAAGACAACCGAAAAATTGAAAAATAAAAAATCTGAAGAATCGAAAAACCAAAAAATCGGGAAAACCAGAAATAGGAATATCAAAAAATCGAAAAGTCAAGAAACCGAGAAGTCGTAAAATCGATAAACCGAAAATTTAAAAACGCCAAAAATAAAAAATTGAAAAATTGAAGAATCAAAATTGTCAAGTCATAAAACAGTAATACCGGAAAACTGAGAAATCGAAAATCTCTTTTGGTTTTCTTCTTTAATTATTACAATTAGTTTTCTTTGTATAATACGATTACTTAAGAACATATTTCACATGGTATTTTCTCGTGGAAAAACAAGGATTTTATAATTAAGCTCCACCCCTCGGATTACGACAAATAAAAAAATTCGTCACAATTGACAAAGGGCGGGTGGGCGGGGCTTATATTTTGCCTTTTTTTTTTCTTAATATACACAGCCATTTTTTCACAACAAGAAACTTAAAACATGGTTAAAATGGTACATTTTTGCAAGAAAATATGGATTTTGGAATTATGGGGTGGAGCCTAATTGCAAATTTTCCATTTTAAACCTGTTTGAGTTTCATGTTGTGAAAAGGAGTCAATACATAATTATTCATTAACTTCTTTTCCTTAATGTATAGAATTTATTTTCCACAACATATTACTTAAAACACAATTCTAACCTCGAATTCATCATTTGATATTTTAAGTATTTTACTATTGAAATGGATAGGCCCCACCCACCCACCCCATCTCATTTGTAATGAATTTTTTTATTCGTCGTGAGACCGAGGGGTGGAGCTTAACCACAAAGTCCATATTTCTGTAAAAGAAACTACGGAGTGAAATATGACCGAAACATTTTCAATTATTTTGAGAAAAAAAAGGGAACGCAGAAGAGAAAAAACCCAATTCTCTCACTTAGCATATAAATGTGCTCGCTGCACTCGCATTCTGTATGTTCTTTGGTTAATCAATCTACTGTCATGAAAACATTTACTTAGATTTTATTAAAATAATTCTCGAAATTTCTCTGTCAACGTGAAAAACTGATCACAAACAATCCTTTAACTCACAGTTTTAAATAACAAAATTGTTCTTATTAATTTGGCTTCTTAGGGACACCAATGAATATTTTTTTTAATTACACCTGAACGTGCTCGCTGCACTCGCATTTTAAACTTCTATTTTTCAACTTCATTCTCATACCAGTGTAAAAGAAAGTGTCTCAGCGAAGTTATTTGGGTTTTATTGCAAAAAAAAAATCTCTAGACTTTAAGAAAAACACACTAGAATTCGCAGACAATCCCAAACATTTTTAGGATTCACTTTATCAGACAATAAAAAAATTCTCTTATAAATAATTTAGTTTTCAAGGACACTGATGTATTTTTTGTGTCAGTATTGAGTATTAAATTTGGTGGGTGGGTGTTTTTGCATAAAAATTTAACAAAACACAAAAAAATATTCAAAAACGAAAACGACGATCATTAATTTGGTTGATTTTTTCCAGACCGAATTTAATTAAGGCTCCTCCTTACAGTCATTAAAATCTGCCGAAATACGGCAAAACGCCACTTCCAATATCATCCTTACTATAGCACTTGAAGACTTGTGCGACATATCAACTTGTTCGTGATACAAAAATCTTCACGGAAATAGTTTTTATATTGCATTAAAGGCTTTCGTTTTTTTAATAAAAAATAAAAACAGAAAAACTTATTTTTCTCTTTGAGCCAAAACTATAACCTATTTTGGCTTAAAAAAATCTGACAGTGTAGATAATGTTATTGCTCACCTGGGACTAATAATTATTTTTTCGTTAAACTATCCATTTTTTAGTTATTGTTGATTAAAGCAAGAGCTAAAAAGGGCATTTTTTGTAAATGTAGGCAACCAAACATTTTCTTTCGTCAAGAACGAGCCAAGAAAGTGTATGATTTACGATAGGGGTTGGCCACTATTGAGAGATTAGACGGATTTAAAACCCTTGTTGAGAAAATATGCAAATGAGGTGACCGCAGTGTGTTCTATCTGAAGGTTGTGGAAACGTACAATTATGTAGGAGTATTATATTAATCTAATTTCAGAATAACAAATAAATAACCGAGTTTGGATTTTTTACAAAACTGCCTAACTTGTTTCAACAGCTATAATTACTGCTGATCCCAAGTTAGACCAATTTCAAAATTATCATGAATCAATGAATATGAATAGAATAGAATAAACTTATTCAAAGCAAATTATGAAGATTAAATAGTTATTTGGCACTAATCGTGTGTATGTACTGAATTACTTATCCTTATATCTTTATATTATAAGTTCCTCTAAATTTAAAAATGTAGACTGAGATAGAAATTTCCGTAACCCCTGGAAATGGAAAATTATTTGGAAAAATTTTATTTAAAAGCCATGCTCCCAGAAATTACTGATTCACGATGGAGTCGAAATCAGCAACTTCGTCCTATAATAAAAAAAGATTTATGATTTACCGACCATTATTTATTTTTATATCATTATATTTATTATATTCTATCTCAGTCAAAAAAATTTACATACATTTTTAAATTTAGAAGAGGCTATAATATGTATAAAGAATCTTCATAGTGTGCTTTGGAAAAAGTTGTTCTATTCTTTTCTTTCTCAGTGATAATTTTAAAATTTGTCTAAGTTATTTCACATTTGGGATCAGCAGCAATTATAGCTGTTGAAACAAGTTAGGCAGTTTTGTAAAAAATCCAAACTCGGTTATTTATTTGTTATTCTGAAATTAGATTAATATAATACTCCTACATAATTGTACGATTCCACAACCTTCAGGTAGAACACACTACGGTGACCTCATTTGCATATTTTCTCAACAAGGGTTTTAAATCCGTCTAATCTCTCAATAGTGGCTAACCCCTATCGTAAATCATACACTTTCTTGGCTCGTTCTTGACGAAAGAAAATGTTTGGTTGCCTACATTTACAAAAAATGCCCTTTTTAGGTCTTGCTTTAATCAACAATAACTAAAAAATGGATAGTTTAACGAAAAAATAATTATTAGTCCCAAGTGAGCAATAATATTATCTACACTCTCAGATTTTTATAAGCCAAAATACGTTATAGTTTTGACTGAAAGAGAAAAATAAGTTTTTCTGTTTTTATTTTTTATTAAAAAAACGAAAGCCTTTAATGCAATATAAAAACTATTTCCATGAAGATTTTTGTATCACGAACAAGTAGATATGTCGCACAAGTCTTCAAGTGCTATAGTAAGGATGATATTGGAAGTGGCGTTTTGCCGTATTTCGGCAGATTTTAATGACTGTAAGGAGGAGCCTTAACATGAATTCTTTGCTTAAACAAATCCAACTTTGACGTGAAACTGTCCAACGGAACACTCTGTAAAATTAAAAATAATTAGATCTAAATAAGTTCCATCAGACTATGTGAACCGATTTTTTCGCCAGTGCACAGGAAATGTGCAATCTTTTACCGCCAGACCAACTTAATCAAAAATCGTGTTTAATTCAAGACCAAACACATCCATCACTTTCTAACCGCCATCAAATGCAATTCATTCAACGATTTACTAATCCTCCAATTTAAAAAGCAAAACCGCAAATTTCGCGGTTTTGAAAATACAATGAGCCCTTATCTGCATCGAAAGCGGATTTGCATTAATGAGGCTGACAATACCTCTGATCTGTTCGCCACTAAATTACCTTTTTAGACTTTCAGATGAGTGATTTAGATTGAAAGGGTGTTTTTTTCCGATTGTTGTCTTACCTTGTAGTTGCTGCTCTGCATCCAGGGGATCAAGCCGTCGATGAGCAGCCCGATGTCCTGGCATACGATAGGATTCGAAGGTTCGGCCAGGTAAGTCAGAAGGTCGGCTCCGACCTGCAGCCGGAACCTCGTGTCTGCTTTGGCCAGATGGGGGATGAACCCGTCCAAGTCTTTCGGGAGAGAATATGCCATTGTGGCTATTCTGGAAAGACATGGAAGTAGAGAGAAACCGGCACCAGAGGCATGTTTCCAAACAAATCATTGCGCAAAAAAATCGATAAGAGTGTTTGTTGTAAACAAATATGCGTTTAAATCGTAAATGATGTCACCTGATATGGGTATGAGAGTAAAACAAGTCTTGACATACCCGAGTCGGCGAGGTCTTAATAATCCCCGATTTACAGTTAAATCAAAGTGGACGATAAAAATAGCAAAGTAAAAGTGTGACCCGATCGTCACATGCCCGTTAATTGGATAACAGGGCGTATTTACCATTCGCAAAGCGCGTTTAAAAATTATCGAGTGCGTTATGTCAAAGGCAAGTCTGCATATAAGGATGATGTCCTTCGCGGATAAATCGAATTGCACAAAAAAGTGAAACGCGGAGAAAGAATGCGACCGACGGGAGAAAATGCAACAAAGCCGACCTCTAAATTGCTTAATGGGTGCTAATCCGCGAAGAAAACACAAATAATAGCCGCATTAGCCGCACTTATGCCAAAATTGGCTGTGCGTAGGCTGGGGCGATCCTCGGCGGACTTACATGTCAAGTTATGTGCAATTTCATGGAAAACCACCTTTAACGTTACACTATCACAATAAACAGTACTTTGGACACTAATTTCACTAACAAACTAATTTTGGGGGCCTTCTCACGCCGCCATATTCTTTCCACAACATGACAGATTTGACAACAACCGTCAACGCTCAACGCAAGATTTACCGGCATTGCGACGAGGGCGACACCTGCCGGCGCACCGCAGCAAAATCGGAAAGGTAGAGAAAACCACAGACCTAGAAACAATATGGACTGAAAACGACCGTTACAACCACAAACAAAGTTTTGATTACCAATATAATTGTTCTTACAAAATTTATGACGCCATGCAAAATTCTGAACAATTATTAAACAAAATTTTCCTTCCCCCTGAATTAACACTGATTATGCGAATTTTATTCAAACCACAAAAAAAAGCAACAGCAATCAAGAAACGGCAAAAATGCGACAAAAAAGAGCCAAAAACACGAAAAAGGGAAACATTCAGAAAAAACTAAAAAACAAAAAATTAAAAAGTCCACAAAAAAAGTGACAAAAACAAGCCACCTAAAAAATTGAGAAAAAAAAGCGAAAAAAAAATCCAAATGTACATAAACAATCAGTGCAGTAATTTTGGAGAATATCTGTCTAATAAAAAACCAAAATCTTAGATTTGTTGGGTTCTCGCATTTCTTGGGTGTCTTGGATTCCTTGTATTTCTTGGATTTCTGGGAATTTTTTGATTTCTTGGTCTGCCTGTCTTCCTTGTGTTTATCGGACTTGGAATTTTTAAAACTGTAGGGAATCTGAAATTTGAGTTGCTTCAATTTCTTAGTTTTTTAGAATTTCGTAGATTCTTGGACTTTTTGTGGAATTACTGGATTTCTTGGAATCCTGCGGTTTCTCAGATTTCTTGGGGTTGTTGGGTTTCTTGATTTTTTTTAATTTCTTGAGTTTCCTGGACTAATTGGATTTCTCAGATGCCTTTCGATTTTTGAAATTCGTCGGATTCTTAGAATTCTTAGTATTCTTGGGATTCTTGAATTCTCCGGAGTTTCTTGAATTTCTTGGGATTCTTGAATTTCGTTTTTTTAACTTACTTAGATTTCTCAGGTTGCTTGGGTTTCTTGAGTTTCTGAAGATTTCTATAATTTCTGAAATTTTTAAAATCCTAGGAAATATCAGATTTCTTGAAGCATTCATCGTACCTTGAATTTATTGAATTTCTTAGTCCCCTTGGAAGTTTCTATTTTTTTGGGGTTCGTTGGGTTGCTTGAGTTTCTGGGGTTTCTTGAATTTCTTGGTTTCTTCAATTTCGTTTTTTTTTTGACTTGCTTAGATTTCTCAGGTTGCTTGGCTTGCTTAGTTTTTCTTAATTTCTTGAACTTCCTTAGTTTTTTAGATTTCTTGGATTTTTCGAAGTTTTTGGATTCCTTGGATCTCTTGTATTTCTTGTATTTCTTGGATTTCTCGGAGTTTTTGGATTTTTTGGTCTGCTTGTCTTCCTTGTGTTTATTGGACCCGGAATTTTTAAACTGTAGGAAATCTAAAATTTGAGTTGTTGGAATTTCTTACTTTTCTTGAATTTCGGAGATTTCTTGGACTTTTTGTAGAATTTCTGTATTTCTTGGAATCTGTTTCTCAGATTTCTTGGGGTTGTTGGGTTTCTTGATTTTTTTTAATTTCTTGAATTTCTCAGGTTTCTTAGAATTCTCAGTCTTCTTGGGATTCTTGATTCTCTGAGGTTTCTTGAATTTCTTATTTTTCTTGAACTTCATGTTTTTTTTTTGACTTGCTTCTTAGTTTTTTTTATTTGTTGAACTTCTTTAGTTTTTTTAATTTCTTGGAATTCTTGAATTTCTGGGATTTCTTGGGATTCTTGAGATTCTTCCGATTCCTAGATCCTTGGGATTATTACCATTCTTGGGATTTTTAAAATTCTAGGAAATTTCAAATTTCTTGAACCACTCGTATCTTGAATTTGTTGAATTTCTTAGTCCTTTTGGATTTATTTTTTTGGGTTTCTTAAGTTCCCTGGGTTGCTTAAGTTTCCGGGGTTTCTTGAAATTCGTGTTTTTTTTTGAGTTTCTGTGATTTCTTGAGATTCTTCCAATCCTTAGTTTCCTGGGATTATTACTATTCTTGGAATTTTTGGCACTACTTGGATTTCTGTAATTTTTGGAATTCTTCTGATTTCGTAAAGCTTTCGCAGTTGAGTTTATGATATTTCTTAGTTCCCTACCATTTCTGATTTTTGTTTTGGTTTCTTGAGTTTTTGGGTTTCTTTTAATTTTTTTTTAAATTCTAGGTAATCTTAGTTTCCTTGAACCATTCGTATCCTGAATTTGTTGAATTTCTTAGACCCTTTGGAACTTTTTCTTGGATTTCTTAAGTTTTCCTTGGTTGCTTGAGTTTCTGAGGTTTCTTGAATTTCTTGGGTTTTGTGAATTTCGTGTTTTTTGACTTGTTTAGATTTCTCAGGTTGCTTGGGTTTCTTAGTTTTTTTGAATTTCTTGAACTTCTTTAGTTTTTTTGGATTCCTTGGAATTCTTGAATTTCTGGAATTTCTTGGGATTCTTGCGATTCTTTCGATTCTTAGATTCTTGGGATTATTAATAGTATTCTTGGGCTTTTTGGCACTACTTCGATTTCTGTAATTTTTAGAATTTTTCTGATTTCTTGAAGCTTTCGTAAGTTGAATTTGTTGAATTTCTTAGTCCCTTGGAATTTTATATATTTTTGGGTTTCGTAAGTTATTTGGGTTGCTTGAGTTTCTAGGGTTTCTTGAATTTCTTGGGTTTTTTGAATTTCGTGTTTTTTTTTTTTGACTTGCTTAGATTTCTCAGACTAATTGGGTTTCTTATTTTTTTTTTAATTCCTTGGGTTTCCTGAACTACTTGGATTTCTCAGATTTATTTCGATTCTTGAAATTCTTTGGATTCTTAGAATACTCAGTATTCTTAGGATTCTTGATTCTCTGAGCTTTCTTGAATTTCATGTTTTTTTTGACTTGCTTAGATTTCTTAAATTGCTTGGGTTTCTTATGTTCGTTGAATTTCTTGAACTTCTTTTTGAATCTCTGGGATTTCTTGAGATTCTTCCAATTCTTAGATTCTTGGGATTTTTGGCACTATTTGGATTTCTGCAATTTTGGATTTTTTCTGACTTCTTAAAGCTTTCGTAAGTTGAATATCTGATATTTCTTGGTCCCCTAGCATTTCTGATTTTTTTGGGCTTTCTTAGGTTCCTTGGGTTTTTCGATTCTGGGTTTCCTAGATTTCTATAATTTTTGGAATTTTTGAAATCGTAGAAAATCTCAGATTTCTTGAATCATTCCTTTATGAATTTGTTGAAATTCTTAGTCCCCTTGGAACTTTATATTTTTTGGGTTTCTTAAGTTCCTTAGATTGCTTGACTTTCTGAAGTTTCTTGAATTTCTTGGATTTCTTAGATTTCTATAATTTTTGCAATTTTTAAAGTTCCAGAAAGTCTCAGCGTTCTGGAACCATTCGTATCTTGAATTTGTTGAATTTCTTAGTCCCCTTGGACCGTTCTATTTTTTTTTTTTTTTGGTTTCTTAAGTTCCTTGGGTTACTTGAGTTTCTGGGGTTTCTTAAATTTCTTGAGTTTCTTGAATTTCGTGTTTTTTTTGACTTGCTTAGATTTCTCAGGTTGCTTGGGTTTTTCAGGTTTTTTCTTTTGAATTCATGAACATTAGTTTTTTGGATTTCTTGGAATTCTTGAATTTCTGGAATTTCTTGGGATTCTTGAGATTCTCTCGATTCTTAGATTCTTGGGATTATTACTACTCTTGGGATTTTTGGCACTATTTGGATTTCTGTAATTTTTGGAATTTTTCTGATTTCTTGAAGCTTTCGTAAGTTGAATTTGTGGTATTTCTTAGTCCCCTATCATTTCTGATTTTTTTTGGGTTTCTTAGGTTTCTTGGGTTTCTTGAGTTTCTGGGTTTCTTTTAATTTTTTTTTTAATTCTAGGAAATCTTAGTTTCCTTACACCATTCGTTTCTTGAATTTGGTGAATTTCTTACACCCCTTGAATTTTTTTTTTATTTTTTAAGTTCTCCTTGGGTTGCTTGAGTTTCTGAGGTTTTTTAAATTTCTTGGGTTTTGTGAATTTCGTATTTTTTTGACTTGCTTAGATTTCTGAGGTTGCTTGGATTTTTTAGTTTTTTTGAATTTCTTGAACTTCTTTAGTTTTTTGGATTCCTTGGAATTCTTGAATTTCTGTAATTTCTTGGGATTCTTGAGATTTTTCCGATTCTTAAATTCTTGGGATTATTAATAGTATTCTTGGGTTTTTTGACACTACTTCGATTTCTGTAATTTTTGGAATTTTTCTGATTTCTTGAAGCTTTCGTAAGTTGAATTTGTGGTATTTCTTAGTCCCCTAGCATTTCTGGTAATTTAGGGTTTCTTAAGTTCCTTGGGTTTCTTGGATTCCTCTTAGATTTCGATAATTTTAAAATTCTAGGAAATCTTCGATTCCTTGAACTATTCGTATCTGGTATTTGTGGAATTTTTTAGATCCCTTGGAACTTTTTTATGGTTTCTTCAGTTCCTTGGGTTCCTTGAGTTTGTGAGGTTTCTTGAATTCCGTCTTTTTTTGACTTGCTTAGATTTCTCAGATTGCTTGAGTTTCGTAGTTCTTTTTAACTTCTTGAACTTCTTCAGTATTTTGGATTTCTTGGAATTCTTGAATTTCTGGAATTTCTTGGGATTCTTGAGATTCTTCAAATTCTTAGATTCTTGGTCCTTTGGCACTACTTGGATGTCTGTAATTTTTGGAATTTTTCTGATTTCTCGAAGCTTTCGTATGTTAAATTTCTGATATTCCTTATTCCCCTACCATTTCTGATTTTTTGGGGTTTTTTGGAATTTTTAAAATTCTAGGAAACCTCAAATTTCTTGAACCACTCGTACCTTGAATTTGTTGAATTTCTTAGTCCCCTTGGAACTTTATACATTTTTGGGTTTCGTAAGTTATTTTGGTTACTTGAGTTTCTGGGGCTTGAATTTCTTGGGTTTTTTAAATTTCGTGTTTTTTTTTGACTTGCTTAGATTTCTTAGATTGCTTGGGTTTCTTAGTTTTTTTTTTAATTCCTTGGGTTTCCTGAACTACTTGGATTTCTCAGATTTATTTCGATTCTTGAAATTCTTCGGATTCTTAGAATTCTCAGTATTCTTAGGATTCTTGATTGTCTGAGGTTTCTTGAATTTTTTATTTCTTGAATTTCATAGTTTTTTTGACTTTAGTTTTTTTAATTTCTTGGAATTCTTGAATTTTTGGGATTTCTTGAGATTCTTGAGATTCTTGGGATTATTAGTATTCTTGGGATTTTTGGCACTATTTGGATTTCTGCAATTTTTGGATTTTTTCTAACTTCTTAAAGCTTTCGTAAGTTGAATTTCTGATATTTCTTGGTCCCCTAGCATTTATAATTTTTTGGGGGCTTTCTTAGGTGCCTTGAGTTTTTTGAATTTCTGGGTTTCCTAGATTTCTATAATTTTTGGAATTTTTGAAATCCTAGGAAATCTCAGATGTCTTGAATCATTCGTATATAAATTTGTTGAAATTCTTAGTCCCCTTGGAACTTTATATTTTTTCGGTTTTTTAAGTTCCTTGGGTTGCTTGAGTTTCTGAGGTTTCTTAGATTTCTTGGATTTCTTAGATTTCTATAATTTTTGGAATTTTTAAAGTTTTCAGCGTTCTTGAACCAATCGTATCTTGAATTTGTTGAATTTCTTAGTCCCCTTGGAACTTTCTATATTTTGTTTGGGGATTCTTAAGTTCCTTGGGCTGCTTGAGTTTCTGAGGTTTCTTGAATTTCTTGGGTTTCTTGAATTTCGTGTATTTTTTTTGACTTGCTTAGATTTCTCAGGTTGCTTGGGTTTTTCAGTTTTTTTTTTTGAATTCATGAACATTAGTTTTCTGGATTTCTTGGAATTCTTGAATGTCTGGAATTTCTTGGGATTCTTGAGATTCTCCCGATCCTTGATTCTTGGGATTATCAGTATTCTTGGGATTTTTGGCACCACTTGGATTTTTGTAATTTTTGTAAATTTTCTGATTTCTTGAAGCTTTCGTAAGTTGTATTTCTGATATTCCTTAGTCCCCTACCATTTCTGATTTTTTTGGGTTTTTATTTTTGGAATTGTTAAAATTCTAGGAAACCTCAGATTTCTTGAATCACTCGCACCTTGAATTTGTTGAATTTCTTAGTCTCCTTGGAACTTTATATATTTTTGGGTTTCGTAAGTTATTTGAGTTGCTTGAGTTTCTGTGGTTTCTTGAATTTCTTGGGTTTTTTGAATTTCGTGTTTTTTTTTTTGACTTGCTTAGATTTCTCAGATTGCTTGGGTTTCTTAGTTTTTTTTTTTTAATTCCTTGAGTTTCCTGAACTACTTGGATTTCTCAGATTTATTTCGATCCTTGAAATTCTTCAGATTCTTAGAATTCTCAGTATTCTTAGGATTCTTGATTCTCTGAGGTTTCTTGAATTTGTTATGTTTCTTGAATTTCATGTTTTTTTTGACTTAGATTTCTCAGATTGCTTGGGTTTCTTATTTTTATTGAATTTTTTGAACTTCTTTAGTTTTTTAATTTCTTGGAATTCTTGAATTTCTGGGATTTCTTGACATCCTTGAAATTCTTCCGATTCTTAGATTCTTGGGATTTTTGGCACTATTTGGATTTCTGCAATTTTTGGATTTTTTCTGACTTCTTAAAGCTTTCCTAATTTGAATTTCTGATATTTCTTGGTCCCCTAGCATTTCTGATTTTTTTAAGCTTTCTTAGGTCCCTTGGGTTTTTTGAATATCTGGGTTTCTTAGATTTCTATAATTTTTGGAATTTTTGAAATCCTAGGAATTCTCAGATTTTTTGAATCATTCGTATATGAATTTGTTGAATTTCTTAGTCCTCTTGGAACTTTATATTTTTTGGGTTTCTTAAGATCTTTGGGTTGCTTGAGTTTCTGGAGTTTCTTGAACTTATTGAATTTCTTGGATTTCTATAATTTTTGAAATTCTAGAAAATATAAAATTTCTTGAACCACTCGTGTCTTGAATTTGTTGAATTTCTTAGTCCCCTTGGAACTTTTTTTTTGGGGGTTTCTCAAATTTCTTGAGTTGCTTGAATTTCTGGGGTTTCTTAAATTTTTTGGGTTTCTTGAATTTCGTGGTTTTTTGACTTGCCTAGATTTCTCAGGTTGTTTGGGTTTTTTGTTTTTTTTTTTTTAATTCCATGAACTTCTTTAGTTTTTTGGATTTCTTGGAATTCTTAAATTTTTTGGGATTCTTGAGATTCTTCCGATTCTTAGATTCTTGGGATTTTTGGCACTAAGTAGGTGCTTGAATTTCTGTAATTTTTTTAATTTTGATTTCTTGAAGCTTTCATAACTTGAATTTGTAATATTTCTTGGTCTTCTAGGATTTTGATTTTTGGGGATTTCTTAGATTGCTCAGGTTGCTTGAATTTCTTGGTTTTTTTTGGAATTATTTTTGAATTTTTTGAGTTTTTTTAGGTTTCTTAGAATGCTTGAATATCTTGGGATTTTTGAATTTATTAGGACTACTGACATTGTATTTCCAAAATTTTCATATATTTAAAATTCTAGGAAATCTCAGATAGACAAACAAAAACGGGAGAACAATTTTCTCGTATTCTAGGGGTCATGAAACGTCGAGAAAACATGAAAGTGGCCAGTCGTTCAATGGACTGGATAACAATATTTTCTTAGTTTACGCTCGGGAAGTAAAAACGACGAAAAAAAAACAACAAAAAAAAACAGATGAAATAACAAAAAAAAACCGACTGAAATAAATGATAAAAAATGTGGCAAAAAAACGACAACAAGAAGGGGAAAACCTACAAGGAAATGATGAAAAAACGACGACAAAAAATGCTTCAAAGCCAACTAAAAAACGCAACAAAAAAAAGGAAAAGCGAGAAAAAAATTACCAAAAAACTAAAGAATGTGACCAAAACCAAAAAATCTTAATCATCTTAAAAAAAAACACGGTACTACAAAAAATCATTTATTAAAGTAATTAATGAAATACATTTATTGAATCATGTGTGCCAAATTCCAGTTCTGATTAACATCTATGGGCCCTTCAACCACAGCACCTTCAGTTTCATCAATGGTAGCAATCTGGTATTTGGGAAAACTCCTAGCATCCCTATAGTACAAAACCTCCATACATTTCTCAACAAGTTGCCGTGCCTCAACTTTAGTAAGGTTAGGATTCTTCTCCACTGCATCCCTCAAAAGTGGCACCGCAATGTAAGCCCCATACCCCGTACAAATAATTTTGTCTGCATAAGCAGTCCCTAACTTATCTACAGTGCCAAGGAAAGGTTCTCCATCCTAGAACCACAACTATTAATAAATAAATAAAAAAAATAGCAAGTGGACAAACCTGAATTCCCCCAACCACAAAGTTGTTCCAAAACGGATCAAACTTACTCCTGCGATTATACATAATTCTCGTCAACCAACAATACAGCGACTTGGGTTTCAACTTGAAGCCATCATCTAAACAATCCTCATCGATTCTGAAACTCACCGCGTTACTCGCGTTACACCAACCACACCCAAACTTACATTTTCTGCTCGATGATGTCCTTCACGTACTGAAAATCGGCGTAGTCGCCCCCAGCCCCCAGAATTATATTGTCGTTGACTTTCAAGATCCGCGGACAATTCCTATATCTGGCCAAGGAGCCGTACGAACCTAGCATGTCGCCGGCGATGACCACCCCAGTCTTGTACTGCAGCGCTACGATCGAAGTGGCTGTGGTCACTGGAGCCCTAAATTACAAACTTGCCAGTCATTCGAAACATTTGAGGTTAACTTACTGTGAGTGTTGTCTGAAATCTTGGGGCGTCGTAGACGCGCCTGGAAAATTGTAGAAGGCACCCGGGGCGGGACCGTTGTGCCAGAAAGGGGGCGCATTCATGACAGAGTTGAACATTTTCGCTAGTAGAGTGACTGTACTATTTCGCGTTTGTTTGAATGACAATATTGACACTATTGACAGATGACAGGAGGATTAGAGTTAGCGCGAACGCTAAATTCCCTGTCGGACAACAATGCACTTGATAAAAGTCAGGCCCGGAATAACTCGGTCTTTTTACAAGTTTTTCTTTATTTTTGTTTACGTGACACTGACTTGCGCGCGCGACAAGACTGCTAAGTAGTCACCGCACGACGACGATACGAGTTATAAAATGTAAAAAAACGCGTTTCGTGTACTTCGGAGCACATTGAGGTAGTACGGCCCTGACTATTTAGGCAAAACATAACCTTCTGTTGCCCATAATATTGCAATAATTCGTGCGGTAGTTCCCGACGCGCCTCAGTTCTGTGATAAGATTCAATTAATAAGTGTTTCGGTGACCTGTTCCAAAATTCGGGCTAAACTAAATCCGGGATGACTTGGGTGCGACTTATTTTTTCGTTTACGTATACCCTGGTCGGGTTATCGGGGTGTTTCGCGTTTTTTTATTTCAAAAATTATCCAGCTGCAGTTCTAGCTGTTGCAACAGGTAAATGCATTGTGCGGTTATTTTTGGAAAAAAAAGTGCGCCCAACGTGGGGCTCGAACCCACGACCCTGAGATTAAGAGTCTCATGCTCTACCGACTGAGCTAGCCGGGCAGTTGTTAGGAGATAAGAATACGTGGTATTTCAGGTGGTGCGTTTTTTAAATATTGTAATCAATTTATTAGTCACTTATTTGTGAATGTTTGATAAAGTAATGATACTTGTTTACTATATTTGTTATCGGGGTTTAGAGCAAGACAAAAAGCACGTGCCGGAGCGTCTTAATACGTTTCGTTTTAGCGCAATTATTTTACTTTATTTGAACTTAAAATTATTTATTTAAAAGTTACACGATTGTAATATTTTTTTATCAATCTCGACTGCTCTCATTAGATGGATTTGTTAATTGTAACGTTGCGACAACTTCCTGGATATTTCGATTCGAGTTAAAAAAAAATATATTGTTTTTCGATTGCTCAAGAACTTGGTACTTAAGTACATCCTGCTTACCCAATAATAACATTTAAGACACAAAAACGTGTAATTTTTATATCTATAATTTTATTAATTCATACCACCTTGTACACTAATTGTAGAACCTGTACTTAGATTCTAGTTGATCTACTTATTATTAGCTGGCTTATTTTCAATGTAAATTAAGCGCGTTGTCATTAAGTAAATATTTTATCAATATATTCCGCTTCAAATACATTAATCTTTTAAAGTGTTACGAAACAAAGAGCAGCTGCTGAAGATTATCCAGCCGCTGAAAGCTTCAATAACACTCTAAATCTTTCTTTTGGAAACGTTTTTTACACATATTGTTTAACGAAATTTGAAAAATATTTTTTTTAGGTGTAATTAACGCCATCTTGAGCCACCTGCACTTCCTCAACCACCGGAACCAACTCCAGGAATGGTACAACCCGTCACACTTGCGCCAAATCAGCTGGTTCGGGTTCTACAGCTTCGCAGTTAGCACTTCCATTCTAGTCTACTTCGCGGTACTAGAAATAATGGACAAAAAACGTACGTCGGTGTATTTTTATCACTCTTATCAAACTATGGAAATTTTTAGCACTTCTACCCATCCAAGATAGCGCAGTCATTGCCATGGTTTGGTGCCTCATCACCCTAAAAAGCGGCCTAATCTTGCAATACTATGCGAGATCTTATAGTAAGCATAATCATACTTTACTCAGAGAAGAGCCCGCTCAAGAAGAAACCTCCGCCGAGACCCAGGAAATCACTCCCTAATCCCAGCCATACCGACTCGAAAATTTCGTTTGTATTTTTGTATCTAGGTTAAAACTTGTATGACTGATTTATTTTTAATAAACAAATTCCAGAAGATTTCGTTTTTTAATTGCTACACTTTCAGATGTAATGGTACCGTTTTTTCCCTTCAAGAATGTCGTCTTCATTTAGTACCATTACGCGCGTGACGCCGCTCTAATTATCCACTTTTTCCTCCTGCGGTAGTCTTTGAAGTGCTGTTGCACAAGAGATACTGATGGGCGCACGGACCCAGCAGATTCAGGCTAGAGTACCATTACGCCACTGCAAAGTCCCGTAAAAACTGTATTTGTCAGGTAACGCTACGTACGTTCGCTCACCTTCTCGCAGTTTAATCCGAACTTGACTTAAGAGTCGCTCGAAAATGCTCACGGTTCAAAAGTAAACAGTGTCCAGTGGTCGTTCCGAAATTTTCTGACAAGAGGTAAGTACCAATTCGATGCAGGTGCTCGGTACCAATATTAGTTTTTATCTGTCGGTGATGACTTCTTTGTAGTTGGCCCTTGGAAGTTGTGCCCATTCACACTCCAGCGGTTATTAGTAACGCATGAGCGACGATTCTATCTCGAGATTATTCTTCAAAGTAAATCCACGATTCAATAATAGTCCCTAGGTATGCAGCTACCGACTAAAAAAAATAAAAGTGAGACGGGTGTGCAATGAACGTAATGCGCGTTAATCAGAACGGATTGTCTAATTAGACGAAAATCTTAATGAAAATGAAAAACTTTCTTCATTGTTAAGGCGAGCTTGCAATTACTGAGGCGGGCATCGCACTTTGGTTGTCACTTTTCGCAGGTTGGTTTCACTTGTTGTTATCACTTGGGCTTTGTATGCAAATCGTGGATGATATCTGCAACTTATATAACGTTATCTTAAGATTAAAGTCGATATTCCCTTGTGGACATCCTGGTCTGTGGACCACATAAGTACCCATCTACCGTAACCTAATCCTCCGCGAAGAAACGTTAGAATGTGCATGCGAGCTAGCGGTACCGCTAAGAACGATTTGGTTATCTTGGTACTGAGGTCATCACTGTGGCAAGGCCAACCGCTTCCAATATGGGCATAATTCGATTTTTAGCTAATTTGTCTGGGTCACTATGTGAGCGCGGTAAAATCCGCAACCATAACGGTTATTCCAATTCCATTAGAATTTCTTTGATGGTACCGTACCGAAATAAACCAATTAACTCGTTTAAGAGCGACCATTCACTCCGGGAGAAAACATGGTAATTCAGAAAATCGTGTGAATCTCGAACAATAAAATCATTCTTTAATTGCTAAACCCGTTCACATTTTCTTCCAGATCATTTGAACAATGACACTCCGAGCCATCAGCTTTTTTTGCTTCGTTTGTGTGGCCAAAGCCGCGTTTCCTCCGAGTCTGAGGTACCCGATTCCAGTGTCCGTGAACAGGATTGTCAACGCGAATGTTACTTGCGACCAGAGGAGTTTCAACGCCACGGTAACGCTCCAGCACCCATTCAAAGGGTTGGTTTTCGCCAGGGATTTTTCGCACGAGTGTAACACCCTGGGTAAGTCGATTGGTACCGCAACTGGTACTACAATCACTATTTTAGGTACTTTGTCGAACTCGGTTACCGTAAGTCTCTCGACTTCGGGCTGCGGCATCCGCTTGAGCTCCAGAATCAACGAAAACTCCCACAAGGAAATGGTCTACAGCGTGGTCTTAGTGGCACAGCAAGATCGTCACCTACGACAAATCGCCGACCAAGAAAAGTACCTGGAGTGCGTCGTCGAAGACGACGCTTTTTCAATCAAAAGCAACTCCGTAGCCCAAGCGCTTAAAACAACTCTATTGGAACGCACCAACAAAAACCAAAGAAGCGGTAGAATGAAGAAAGAAGACACCAAAGACCTGGTGGGTGAAGAAATGAACGAAGCGCTCTCTGCGTCTCGTGCCTGGATGGAAATCACCCCCGAAGACCAACTCCACAAGTTCACTGACACCCTCAAAGTCGGCGAGTCAGCGATCCTCACCCTCAAATCAACCCTACCCTCTGGAATCGGCTGGAAAGTCGTTGAGTGCGTCGCTCACGATGGTCTAGGAGACTCCTCCCAGAGGCTCCTAGACGATGATGGGTGCCCCATCGACGAACTGCTACTCCCATCGCCGCAGATGGGTCCCGTTCAGGCGATTTCGCTCATGAAGCACCAAGAAGCTTTTGCTAAGTTTGCTGCCTTCAAGTTCCCGGATCGAGATAGGTTGCATCTGTCGTGCTACTTGGAGTTGTGTCGAGGTTCTTGTCCTAATGTAAGTTGTTGTTTTTTGTGGCTGGGGGTTATTTGGTGGGTTGTAGGTGGATTGTGGGGCGAAGAGTGAAGGTTTGGAGAATCGTTTGGGGAGGACTTTGGCCAAAGGGACTCAAGGGGAGGTTCTGGATAGGCTGAAGGTGTTCAATAGCGTCGAGGTTCTGGCACCAGCGATCGACGATTTGAGGAAAAGTGACAATTTGCAAATTAGTGGTGAGTTTGTGGTGTGTCGGGGCGAAGTTGTATATAGGGGTTCGGTGCCGAAGTGGGGTGTTTTGGGGTTTTTTCGGGGGTGGACCAAAGGGGGTCTGTATATCGGAGCACTAGGAGGTGTAGTGGTCAAACGCCAACCAAAATTTGTTTGATCATCCCCACCAACAATGTTATGACGTCACGTCAAAATTTTACCTAGTAAACGTTATTTAAATTTTATAAAATAACATAGTCCTACAGGTCTAATTTATGAATTCGTGTTGAGTTTTTTCCGAGGCATCCAATTTTTTTTAAACAAAATCAGAATCTTTCAAAGGTAAATTTTTAATCGAAATATATCTTTTTATCCCTCGTCCGAAATTGATGACGTCATCTTATTAAAATTTCCTATCTAAAATGTGGAAAATATGATGAGTCTGTACTTATCTTTGCATTCATATTTTCTAGAATTGCTTATACAGGGTGATTCAGAAATTCCAACCACTTTCAAAAGTTGATTTTGAAGTCGAAGATTTCAAAAATCTTGGTCTGTAACCATTAACAGGCTGTTTTTTGAATCAGTTTGTCGATATATACATAGCAGAATTTTTTAAGAATTTTTAGGCAATTTTCCCAATAGCTGAAATTTTCAAAACAATGACACTTCTGAGTTTTTTCGGAGAACTTTCGAAAATTATCCAATCTGATTTCGACCTGTGGACGTCATTTTCGGTAACATCCTTCGAAAACTACGATCATTTATCCAGAATGAAGAAAACGAAATATAAGTATTTTTTGGGATATTTTTCAAAATTTGATTTTGAAACCGAAAATTTCAAAAATCGTGGTCCAAGACCATCAGGAGGATCTGTTTTCAATTCAGCTTATCGATACCTATATCCCAGAATTTTGTGGATTTTTAGGTAACTTTGTCCAAGGTTCAAATTTTCTAATTTGAAATTTTTTATCTTTTTCGGGGCACTTTCAAAAATTACCGAAAAACATTTTTTCTTCAATTCGACCTACAGAAGTCAGTTTAGGCAAAATTTGTTCGAAAATTCCAATCGTTTTTCTAGAAGCACCAAAATAAAATCTGGCTTTTTGGGATATTTTCAAAAAGTAATTTTGAAAGCGAAAATTTTGAAAATCTTGGTCAGGGACTATCAATAAGCTGTTTGTCGATTTAGTTCGTCGATGTCTATTATCCAGAATTTTTTGTGGATTTTTATGCAACTTTGCCAAAATCTCAAATTTTCAACTTGAAATTTTTGACATTTTCTAAGCTTTTTCGAAAATGACCGAAGGACATTTTTTTGTTGACTTCGACTTGTAGAAGTCATTTTTGGCAAGATTTTTTTTAATTCCAACCAGTTTTCCGGAATTATCAAAATGAAATATGAACTTTTTGGAAAGTTTTCTCAAAATTTGATTTTGAAATCAAAATTTCAAAAATCTTAGTTTGGAACCATCAACACGCTATGTTTTTTGAATAAGTTTGTCGATATCTATATCCCAGATTTTTTTTCTGGATTTTTAGGCAACTTTGCCAAAATCTCAAATTTAATTTTCAACCTGAAATTTTTTTTTTGACTTTTTCCAATTACTTTCGAAAATTACTGAAAGACATTTTTTGTTGATTTCAACCTGTTCACGTCGTTTTCCAAGCTTTTTCGAAAATTACTGAAAAGATATTTTTTTGTTGATTTCGACTTTTAGAAATATGATCATTTTTGGAAAGTTTTCAAAATTTGATTTTGAAGTCGAAGATTTCAAAAATTTTGGTCTGGAACCATCAATAGTCTGTTTTTTGAATTAGCTTGTCGATATCCATAAGTATCGCATAATTTTTTGTGGATTTTTAGGCAACTTTTCGAAAAGTTCAAATTTTCATTTCAATACAATGCCATTTCTGAGTTTTTTCGGAGCACTTTCGAAAATTATCCAAAGACATTTTTTCTTCAATTCGACCTACAGAAGTCATTTTCGGCAACATTTGTTCGAAAATTCCAATAATTTCTCTAGAATTATCAAAATAAAATCTGACTTTTTCGGATAATTTGAAAAAGTGTTTTTGAAAGCGAAAATTTCGATAATTTTGGTTTGGGACTATCAATAAACTGTTTTTCAAATTAGTTCGTCGATGTCTATATCCCAGAATTTTTTGTGGATTTTTAGGCAACTTTGGCAAAATTCCAAATTTTCAACTTCAAATTTTTGACCATTTTCCAAGCACTTTCGAAAATTGCCGAAAAACATTTTTTTCTTGATTTCGACTTTATTTTTGGCAATTTTTTTTTAATTCCAACCACTTTTCCGGATTTGTCAAAATGAAGTATGATCATTTTTGGAAAGTTTTCAAAATTTGATTTTGAAGTCGAAGATTTCAAAACTTTTGGTCTGGAACTATCAACAGGCTGTTTTTTGAATCAGCTTGTCGCATCTTTATCGCCGAATTTTTTGAGGATTTTTAGCCAATTTTTCCAAGAACTCAAATTTTCAACTTGAAATTTGTGAAAAGTTTTCCAAATTTGATTTTGACATCGAAAACTTCAAAAATACTGGTCAGGACCACCAATAGACTATGTTTTTTGAATCAACTTGTCGATATTTATATCGCAGAATTTTTTGAGGATTTTTAGGCAACTTTTCCAAGAGCTCAAATTTTCAACTAAAAATTTTTGACTCTTTTCCAAAGATTTTCGAAAACTACCAAAAATATTTTTTTGTCGATTTCGACTTGCAGAAGCCATTTTCGGCATCACGTTTTCAAAAATTCCAACCACTTTTCCAGAGTTATTAAAATGAAGTGTGATCATTTTTGAAAAGTTTTCAAAATTTGATTATGAAATCGAAAATTTCAAAAATCAAGAGAGTTTTTTGAGGAGTTTTGGGCAACCTTGCCAAAATTTCAAATTTTCAACTGAAATTTTTGGCTTTTTCCAAGGCTCTTTCTAAAATTACGGAAAGATATTTTTTTGTTCATTTAGACTTGCAGAAGTCATTTTTGACAACATTTTTTTCAAAAATTCCTACCACTTTTTCGAAATTATCAAAATGAAGTTTGATCACTTTTGGAAATTTTTCAAAATTTGATTTTGAAGTCGACGATTTCAAAAATCTTGACGTGGAACCATCAACAGGCTATGTTTTGGAATCAGCTTGTCTATATCTACATCCAGAATTTTTTGATAATTTTTAGGCAACTTCGCCAAAAGCTCAAATTTTCAATTTGAAATGTTTGGCCTTTTTCCGCATTTTCGAAAATTATTGAAAAACATGATGATTTCGACTTGTCGAAGTAATTTTTGGGAGCATTTTTTTTTTCTTAATTCTAATCACTTTTCAGGAATTATCAAAATCAAGTATCATTTTTGGAAAATTTTCAAAATTTGATATTGACATAAAAAATTTCAAAAATCTTGGTCTCGAACCATCAAGAGGCAATGTTTTCTGAATCAGTTTCACGATATCTATATTCCCGAATTTTTTGAAGAGTTTTAGGCAACTTTGTCAAAATTTTAAATTTGCATTTTTTTACTTTTTCCAAGCCTCTTCCTAAAATTACCGAAAGACTTGTAGAAGTAATTTTTGGGAGCATTTTTTTTTTTAATTCTAATCACTTCCAGAATTATAAAAATTAATTATGATCAGGCCACTTTTGGAAAATTTTCAAAATTTGATTATGAAATGGAAAATTTAAAAAATCTCGGTCTGAAACCATGAAGAGGCTATGTTTTTAGAATAAGCTTGACGATGTCTATGTCCCAGAGTTTTTTGAGGATTTTTAGGCAACTTTGGCAAAATCTCAAATTTTCGACTTGAAATTTTTAACGTGTTTCCAAGCATTTTCGAAAATTATCGAAAAACATGTTGATTTTTCGACTTGCAGAAGTAATTTTTGGGAGCTTTTTTTTTCTTGATTCTAATCACTTTTCCGGAATTATCAAAATTAAGTATGATCAGTTTTGGAAAATTTACAAAATTTGATTGTGAAATCGAAAATTTCAAAAATCTTGGTCTCGAACCATCAAGAAGCTATGTTTTTTGAATCAGCTTCACGATATGTATATTCCCGCATTTTTTGAGGAGTTTTAGGCAACTTTATTAAAATTTCAAATTTGAAATTTTTTACTTTTTCCAAGCCTCTACCTAAAATTAACGAAAAACTTGTAGAAGTAATTTTTGAAAAATTTTCATATCGTAAAATTGAGAAAGTGATTTTTTTTAATTATAATAATTATTGAAAAATCTAAAAGTTGAAACATCCAATAGTTAGAAATTCGAATAATTTAAAAATTTAAAAATGAAAACTCGAAGAGTTGCATATCGCATAATTGAAGAAACGAAAAAAAATGAAAAATTGAAAAACTGAAAAATTAAAAAATCGAATAAGTGAAAAAGTTTAAAAAATTAAAAAAATGAGTAAAAAACGGAACATTCGAAAAATTTAAAAATAAAAAAAATGAAGAAAATAAAAACAAAATGAAAAATCACAATTCGAAAAATTTAAATGAAAAACTGGAAAAGCCAACAATTGAAAAAACAGTGAAGAATTACAAATCGAATAACTGAAGAAACGGAACATTGATAAAATAGAAATTGAAAGAAAAATTACAAAAACCGAACATTGAAAAATCGAAAATTTGCAAATCAACAATTAAAACAACGAAAAATTAAAAATTCATGAAACTGAAAAATTTTAAATTAAAGAATTGAAAACCGAAAAATTGAAAATCAAAAAATTGAAGACACGAAAAATTGAAAAAACCAAAAATTAATAACTTAAAAGTTAAAAAATTGAAAACCGAAAAATTGAAGAAATGATAAATTGGAAAATTAAATATTGAAAATTCATGAAATTACAAAATTAAAAAACTGAAAAATTGCAATTCGAAAAATTGAAGGAAGGATAATTGAACAATTGAAGAAAAAACAAAAACGGAACATTGAAAAATGGAAAAATGGTAAAAATAAAGAAAATAAAAAACAGAAATGAAAAATCGCAAATCGAAAATTTCAAG